TTTCCTTGACATCTGGTGGGAGGGCGTTCCACAGGGCAGGCGCCACCACCAAGAAGGCCCTCTGCCTGTAGCAAATGTAGCAAATCAGCCCAGCTGCATGACTCGTACCAGCACCCAGACAGTTGGTAATAGTATTAGAATTAGCATTATAATGTAATTAGCAACATGATAATAGATAATAAAATAATAGATTATTATTATTAATAATAATAATAAATAGCCACATTCAACAAATTTTAAAATTCATGTGGCAGCTCTAATGTATAAATTGGCCAAACAAAAGGGCAGAATAGCAGCATAGGGCAGTGGTTTCCAAACAGTTCCAAACACACCAGATGTTTCAGAAGGTTTACATCAGCATTCTGTGACAGAAGGCGTTAGGGATTGGTGCTTCCCAGTACAGAGAACTCTGAGTTAAGAAAAAAGGCATTGTGGTGTCTGGCCTAAAAACTTTGGACACCAATGACATGAAAAAACACAAGTCTTGCATGAACGTACTTAACAAGGGGAGCTTGTATTTGCAAAATATTCCTTAATGTCTATCTAGAGAAGCAGCTCCAGGCATGTCTGCAGACAAAACCAAACGTGTGCCACATGACTCATGGAAATTTCATGCCCCTAATATGAACTCCCAGTTCCCCAGTTGTCCCAGATTGTTCACAATGGGACCCTTATAGTCTTGCTATCGGGAACTTTGCATACTGATGCTTCGATGGAGACTATTCCCAGTGCTTTCTACTATGGAGGCAGCCGTGCTCAAATTGAGTTTGACAGGACCAGTACACTTTCTTGCATTCCATCAGTTTGAGAAGGAGATAATGATGCACCCCTACGCTGTCGTGGCCTCTGAAAGCATGTCAGCAAGAAAGGAAATATGCAAAGGAAGCCTATTTTTCTCTCTCCTTTGCAATCAAAGGTGGAGCCATACAGGACCACACTTAATGCCAGATGGTGCTTATCTGACTGACATCACCAGTACCTTATAGCATTAGTCACTCCAAGTGAGTCACTGCGAAGATGAAATATGAGTGTCACCAAAGCCCTCCACAACTTTGAAGATAACACTGTCTTCAAGAGGGCAAAAGACCAGGTCTTCTGGCCCTCTAGGGAACATCGTCAACATGATTTCAACTCTTGCAAAATGAATGTTCAGTTTCCCCGGAATTGCCACTTTACCCTCCAGAAGTACCTTTGAATTGTTCTATGACAAGCAGAAACTCACCAAATGCAATCATTAGAAAAGCTCAACCTTTTGTTTCTTTTCAAAAGCACATGAACACTTATTGACAAATAAGGAAGAGAAAATCCTATGTTTTGCTAATTTAATTTTTGCTTTTGCTTTTGCAAGGAAATATAATGCCTTAAAAGTTTTATACTTCTGAAGGCAATGCTCATTTTTTGCTAGTTTGTCTCCTAAGAGATTGCTATGTCTTTAAATCCAATTAACCTTAGCTTTGAAAATATTAATAATTGTGTTTCTTTCTTCTGAAAACAGCAATTTGGTTAAGGTAAACAGCAGCTTGAGCATCTAACGCCTATTTATATTTTGGCTCTGAACACCTATATTAAAAACGCTGCCACTTGAAAGCTCAACCACAGCATTTAGAAACAATAAAGATCTATTCAAATATCATGTCAACACTACAGCTGACTTGCCATGAAAATGAATTCCATTTGACTTCAGTCACACGTCACTGAGGTACACGCCAGCTTCCCACATGGTTGGCCTGATTATATGGTAAACACTCATGTCAGCAATCCTTGTCTCCAAAGAATAGGTATTGCAGAACATAAGAAGTTGACCAGAAGGAGGTGTACAAGGTGGCATCTCCACTCCAGATTTGTGTAGGGTTTACTGCTTAGCCTTTTCTTCTCCTGCAGAGGAGGTTTAGGATCACAGTTTTCCTTCTCCTAGATGGGCTACACAGAGTTAGACCCTTGGTCCATCTATCTTAGTGTGTCTACACTGACTGGAGATAGTCCTCCAGGATTTGAGACTAAGCTTTGCCCTGGTCCCACTGAGGCAATGCTTTAATTATCACTGCATTGATTTCCAATGGAACTGTTTGGGGGTACCAGGTTCCCTGATTCACCATAACAGATACCTCTAGTCACATATACTGTGTGGTTCCTTTTTCTGATGCCAGGTACATGAAATGGCAGATTGAAGGGCTCTTGAGTTCACTGACACTGCAGATTCCCAAATCTGTGCAATTTCACATCTCATTTTCCCAAGCTCTGCTTCCCACACCTTTTCTGTTTATGTGCTGAATCACATAACCTCCAGCATGGGAGCCTGCCGTCTTGATTCATCCCAGTAAATCTCACTGTGCGTTTCTTTCCCCATATAATTAAAAGACATCTCCTCCTTGGCCTACTCATCAATGAGGAGCAGATACCCATCAATGAGATCCAATGTGCATGCCTAATAGCTTATTCTTTTGCATCCAAAGCTGTGTGACTTGGCCATACACAGAGAACTTCCATTACTGTTTTTAAGGAATGCTTTCTGGAGGTTCAGTGGTAGTGCTTTAATTTATTGGGGGGCAGGGATATAGAAAAGCCAATGACTGACAGGGTATTTCTCAGGGAGACGTTTTTCAGCCCTGACACAGTATGCAGAAATCACCCGTACTCCTTCAAGCTTATGAAAATACTGACTTGTAATATTCTCTCCCTGCTCTGGCCTTCTCATACACTGACAGCCGCCCCCTCACTCAGCTGCAGCCTGGCTGCTGTCTCCAGCACAGTTCCTCTGGCAGCTGTTTCACTTTTTGTATCAGCCCACACCTACCTACAAATATATATATATATATATCCAGAGTGCTTTATCTATTTTAATAGCAGCTGAAGTGTCTAAGAGGCCCAGCTGCCTGCCACAAAAAGCCATCTTTAAGGTAGCAGCTGGATGAAAGCCATACTATGCTTCTCAATCCCTGCACAGCATCATGGCTCCATGACAGCACGTATATTATGAATGCGGCAGAGGCTAATGGTTCAAGGGGGTAATATGGAATCCATACTATGCCGAATTTCATGCACTCTTATTCTCGGATAACGTTCTTGGCACCGAGGCCCACATTTTCCAGTTGTGGAGTCTGCTGCCTGAGACTTTCTACACAGGGAATTACAGTGTGAAACCGGGGGGTGGGGAGGGGATGCCTCCGTAACAATTCGCAACGACACAAAGGCCATTACGCTGCCATTTCTTTGCGCTCTTACGCTACAGAATGTGAAATAACACACACACACTGCATAGCTTTGGAGTGAGGTTTTCTAATCTCATTCACATGACTCCCACAGACCACGGTGAAAGAAAAGGACTCTGTGAAATCCAAATGACTCCAGTGAAAAGGGAAATGTGAACTCAGCATTTTCATATTCCAGCTTGGGATGCAAAGTCCCAGGAAGGAAAGATGATGTCATTACCTGAAGGAGCATCTCCACCCCCATCATTCTGCCCGGACACTGAGGTCCAGCGCCGAGGGCCTTCTGGCAGTTCCCTCACTGCAAGAAGGGAGAACAAAAAAAATTCCTTCCAGTAGCACCTTAAAGACCAACTAAGTTAGTTCTTGGTATGAGCTTTCGTGTGCATGAAGTTCATGCACACGAAAGCTCATACCAAGAACTAACTTAGTTGGTCTTTAAGGTGCTACTGGAAGGAAGTTTTTTTTGTTTTGACTATGGCAGACCAACACGGCTACCTATCTGTAACTGCAAGAAGGGAGGTTACAGGGAACCAGGCAGAGGGCCTTCTCAGTACTGGCACCCGCCCTGTGGAACTCCCTCCCACCAGGTGTCAAAGAGAAAAACAACTACCAGACTTTTAGAAGACATCTGAAGGCAGCCCTGTTTAGGGAAGCTTTTAATGTTTAACTGACTATTGTATTTTAATATTCTATTGGAAGCCGCCAGACTGGCTGGGGAAACCCAACCAGATGGGTGGGGTAAATTATTATTATTGTTATTGTTATTATTAAACTATGATGGACTTTGGTGTGTAACTCATCAATTCACTTCATTTTTTTTCCTGTGATCAAAGGCCTTAGCAGGACTATAGCTCAAAAAATAGTGACAGTCGGAAAGTGTCATTAGGCATAGCTTGACATGCAGTGAATGAGATGCTAAAGGAGGACCATAGCTCCGTATGTTTTCATGTAGAAGCTTCTGTATTCAGCTTCTTGCATTTCCATGTAAAAGGATCCCAGCAATAGGCCTAGAAATTCTTAGAGAGTCAGAATCCTCAGAGATCTGCTACCTGACAATTATTGGGTCTATGACCTGTGGTCTGATGAAAAGCACTCCCTGCCCCCAAGGCCACCTGAGCCTCAAGTGACAGCAATGGATCCGGAAGTATCCAAGTTGCATACCCACTTCTTTAGAAGAATTGTAATCCCATCAATAGCAGACAACCTCCCATCCGTCTGGTCTAGTGAGCCACCCACTAACTACACTTGGGGTGGGGGCGGGGCAACAACAAAAAAATACATCCCCTACCAGGTAACCAAAGACCCGAAAGAAGAAAAAAGGAAGGGGCAGAAGGCCTTGATTTGGGGGGGGGGTGTAGCACACTGGGTACTCTAGTGCTAAAGTGATCCACACCTGGGGATATTAGTAGCTCAATGAAAAAGTTAGATTTTCTTCAGTCTGAAAAAAAGATGAGAGGAACACAGGGGTAACACAGGATGATTTAATTCTAAGTTATGGAGATGCCCCATTAAAAAGGGAGTGAACGAAGTGTAGCACCAAATGTCTAGTGTGGGAATGACATTGTTTTTCAGCCCCTAAATTGTGGCTTGAAACTGAGTTGTGCCTTGACTAAAGTTGTTTGTATCAATGCTGCCACAATCATTTTAGTGGGTGATGAGAGCGAAGAAGAAAGACGACGAGTAAAGATAAAACATTAAAGGTGGGTCATTGTAGCTAGAAATATTGAAGGCTATTAAACTTTTTCAAAGAAATGATTGTTCATGCTGTCTCATGATTTAACCAACATTTACCTTTCCAATCTTGTTGACCTCAATGCAGTTTTCTTTAAATTTCTCTTGTAAAGTCTCCGCTAGCCGACAGAGCAAAGCCCCATTATCCAATTTCTCCATGAAGGTCTCAGCTGTTATTTCCTTTCCTGAAATGGAATAAAAATAACAGCATTCAGCATCAGCTTTGACAATTACCAATGTTCTGAGCAGGTATGGTTATATTGCAATTTTAGTTTGTGCCAAATTATAGTTGCGTCTTTAAAAGGAATCTGATGTCATATTATCGAAATACATGGTCACCAGTTGTTGAAAATAAATAGTGGAGTTGTTTTTAGAATAAACCTCTGATTATGGACCCAAAAGGTAAGTGGAGCAGGCACATTATTGTATTAATATTTTTTGAAATATGGTTTCTCTCTATATGAGCGAGCCGTGATTATAGGATTGTGAAATAGTTGGGGTTGTGTAAGGTGAAGACTACCCTGCTTCCCTCTACTTCTCAATGTCTGCAGATAAAATGAAGAAAGTCAATGTGGTGGTGAGTTTTTAAAGAAATCAATTTTAATGAGTGGATAAACACGGAATTGGCTCCTTAAGAAATAAAAATGAAAAACTGCAATAATAAAAGAGGAAAGGCAGGAAAATAACCAGGATGCAGTTAGGAAACCTTTGGCTGGAACACTGTCTGCACTAAGCACTGCAAAACCATTAACTGAATTACAACTAGTTTTCATGTCTGGAAGCAGAGTGCCAACCGGGGACAATATGAGACCATCAGTAGAATGAATTTCATAGTGCCCAAGCTCTAGTGCACTATTTTTCAGCAGCAAATTGTGTGGAAAGCAGCTGTTACTAACAGCCATAGCATTTGCCTCGTCCGTCTGTTTCATCATGATCATTTAGACCTGCTCAAGAAGACTTTCTAAAAGATTTTACTGCAGAAGAAAAACTTACTCGCTTGAAAATGGTGGAGAGAGAGAGAGAGAGAGAGAGAGAGAGAGAGAGAGAGAGAGAGAGACTTTCCCCACCGCTCCATTGATGAATTATTATGTATTCTGGGGAAGGCTGCCAGAATGACTAAACCAACTAATGTCATATGTGCCTGAGAAGACAGACTAATGTATTTTGTTTGCTTTCATTACCTGTCAAGAACAAAAAGCACAGAACTGAGGTGAGTCTTGGGATAAGGTTTTCTTTGTTTCAGTTTTCAAAGCTTTATCCATTTCCATTTTGTAACAGATATGGGCAGCAGTTATGTGCAATAGCTTTCCTACAGAACCTATATGCAGGATTCCTTCAGGTGTTCCAAAGAACATGTAAGTGCTCTTTGCAAATGGGGTAGGGAGCATGGATGTGCCACTCCTAACCTTTGAGGACTGAGCACAGTTGAATACAGTTCCACACTTACCCTGTTAGGGAATCCTAACCATTCAGAGCTCCTGATCAAATAAGGGATTCTGAATGTGTTTAGAATCTCCCTGTAGACCAGTCTGGGGAAGAAAGGGTGGGATCACTCAGGGCAGAGCTTGCATGCAGCCTATGCATCCTCCCCAGTTTGAATCCTCACACATCTATCAAAGGGGCCTTTGTTCCATTTAAATATGATCCTGCAATTTAGAAATACCATCTGATTAAAGATCAGAACCACCCAGCCCTATTTGCACCAAGAGAGTTCAGTTCATTTCCTCTATTGCCTTGTCTATACAGTATGTATATACCATGTCCCTTGCTCCCAAGTCCCCATTGACAGCACCATCATACTCTTTCTCAGAGTAGACTATGCAGCAGGGGTCCAGAGAGCAGCAAGCCGGATGGGGCGGGCTTCAACTTGCCAGAAATAGCCAGATATGTTTCCTACATACAGTTGGTACAGTTCTAGGGATGGGAAAACACATCTATCCATTTCAGCTTCTCATTTTTCTCGTGGAACGCTCTGTCACAAGAGACTAGGGCCCTGCGGGACTTGATATCTTTCCGCAGGGCCTGCAAAACAGAGCTGTTCCACCAGGCCTTTGGCCAGGGCACAGCCTGACCCCCTCCTTTGGCAATCCTCACAGAACTCTAGCCCAATGGTTGCCATTTTTATATCCAATTTATATCCAATTTTGCCTTAGATACACATTTTTGCAAAGCAATTCTCCCTAATATTTTGTATGGTGGTTTTGTGTGTGTGTATGTGTTTTCATATGCACATTTCACCCTAGTATATGCATTTTTGTACACACTAGTTGACTAGAGAATGGCACTGAAAAATTCAGAGAAGTGCCAATTTCAAAGATCAGCTGTGTTTTGGTTCACATATTGCTGTGGAAAGTGCAAATTAGGTAGGTTCACCTTTAAATGTGAACTGAATTGAATCCAGCCCCCCACCCAGTACCTCCACAGAGGAGCCAGAAAGTGTTCATTGTGTTGTATAGCTGCTGTTCTTCATTCTATTCTCTTTCAGCAGAAGGAGAATGTGTTCTCTCATAAGCAAGCCTGGCCCTACTATTAGGGGCCAGCAACCATCTCAGGCAGCTGATTTTGGGTGCCCTGAAAGAACAGCTTTTTTCCCCCATTTATTTTTATTGTACTATTTTTATCCCTAGGGAGAAAAACTTGTGTTTTTTAATTTGTCTAAGGTGCCAAACTTTGGACAGGCTTGGGTATAATAAACATGGGGGAGAATCAGTTTGCCGTTCTACATCAAACAGTAAAAAGTTTGGGCCAGCCCTGATTCTTTGCATAGCTGTCAACTTTTCCCTTTTATTGCGAGGAATCCTATTCGGAATAAGGGGATTTCCCTTTAAAAAGGGGAAACGTTGCCAGCTATGATTCTGTGTCCCAAGTTATGATTACAATGATTTGTTAGGAGGTGCTTTGCATCTCACCAAAACCTCAGCAAAAATCACTTTTGGAAGTTTTAAAAAGCACTCTGTTTTAGCTGGGGTTTGAGTGGCTTGGGTTCAACTTTCAATAAATAAAAGAGGCTTCAGTTTATGTTTTCATTGGTTAAATTTGTCAATTGATATGTTATCTTGTGCGTTTTGTGGTTTTCATGTTGTAGCCAGCCCAAAAGCTAAATCCAAAAATAAAACGAGTGTAATAACAATGCAGAAATCACAGATTTTCTTAACTTGGCACCCCAAATTGCAAGTTTAAGTAACAAATCAAAAATAGATTTAACAGGCTTGGCATTTAAATTATTGCAAATTATTCATTTTTCACTAGCTGAATAAAAGTAAAGAAGACAACTGAAGAGAGGCACGCTTGTTTGCACAGCAAATAGCAAGTTAGAATTACATGTAAAGCAGATAATTCGTAATTCTAAAGTAGCCTCTGTCTTTGGAGAGATCCTCTATGAGTGATGCTTGCATTTCCTCAAGTTTAATATTTAAATTACTTTTGGTACCTTCTTCCCAGAAAACTTTATTTTCTCAAAGGAACTGAGACCATAACAGTCTCTGCTGTTACCAAAACAAAATAGGATATACAGTACGGCATTACCTTTCAACCAGCAAGCTGTCACAAATTGCCATGGGCCTGCTTCTGAGATAATAGGGCTCAGCTCCCGATCGGAAACAATAGGAAAATGATATGCTCAGATTCAGATGGCAATTCTGAAGTGGGATTTCATATACTGTATGCTGCACAGCATGTTACAACATCAGCATACACATGGCTAGTATTTGAATAATCAATATGCCATGAAGCCTGCAGATTTCCAGAATGGGGAGTGTGTGATATCACCTGTGTGGTAATAGGCATAGGACCCACTTGAGCAGTACATAGTAGAAATAATGCAGGGAGGAAGGAAATCTGTATTTTCAAGGTCACCTCTGTGCCAGCTGCTCAGACTGCCAGGTTAGTGTGCAAACACCAGCCAACAGCACAGAAAGCTATTCCCCCGACATTCTTCACTTTGCAAAAACTATCTGTTTCATCAAAGCAGTTTCATATTTCTTTCCTCGGAATTTAACATTTTAATAGAATCTGGATCTGCTCATTGCTTTGAATAGAGATTGATACATTTGTGTATAGCGTAATTGTCACAAATGACATTCCATTTAGCATAGATTTGGGCTGGGATTTTTTTACACTTTCCAGCCCGAATGAAATGGTCATTCTTCTAAATTACTATATTGTCTCAGGATTTATGGGTCTGTCCTACCTTTTGGGTTGATTTGATAAATATAGAGCAATTTTTTATTTTAAAAGTTAATCTGATGCTGAGAGAGATGCTTCTACCAACACCATCTAAACCCACATAGATTATTTTATAGTCTGACACACATTTATGCTTTGATTCTTACATTTTGTAAACCAAGATGAAGTACTTATTACAAAGTGAATGGGTTTTTGCATTCAACATCTGTAACTAATGAAAAATATGTTATGTAGTACAACTGTGATTCCAGAAGGCATTGTGTGTTGTTGTTGTTGTTGTTTTGCAGAGTCATTTAATACAGCTTCAAACAGCATACCCTCCAACATTCCTCAGATGAAAATAGAGAGATTCCATTCTACATCATTATTACCGCTTGAGCATTACCTCCTGGTCAGGTACAAAAGTTATTAGAGGAAACACACAAAACGGCAGAAATATTTGAGCTTATGTATTGCATTTAGGGAAGCCTGAGGTGAAAAGAAAATCAATAATAATAATAATAAAATAATAATAATAATAATTTATACCCCACCCATCTGGCTGGGTTCCCCAGCCACTCTCAATAAATACAACTAATTAGCAGTGATACTGATATAGAATGGAATGTCCCTACTTTCTCCCTCCCCTCCCTATGCTGGAAGGCCTTATGCAGCTGAGGGTGGTGGAGCTAGAAGAGGAGGCATAGGGATGGAGGAATCTGTCTGTTTGAGTTTCCTTCATTTTTTTACTTTTTTCAGTTTTAAATTTAGTTCCATTCATTATCACATCACTTTGCATTAAAAAAAATGCATGAAAATCATACACAATCTCATGCACACTTCTAACATATACAGTTGGGGGGGTTGTGTTTTGAGCAAGTTCTCTCTCTCTCCCATACACATACAAAAGTATATGCATATTTCTCTGGAGCACAGCATCACAAAATCCAGAAAACTGAATTTCAAAGACTAGCTTCATTTTGAATCATGTATTGGCTTGGAAGTGCAAATTAGATTCCCATTACAGTGCAAACTGAACTACATAGCTAGCTATTGCTATAAGGAATTCAATGGGCCTGTAGACTAGATATGCATACCAGAATCACAAATACATTTTGCTTCCAAAAGGCAGTTTATCCATGTTAATAATGCCTTACTATGCTATTTCATAATTAAAACAGAGTTGCCTGCACTGGAATCCCAAAGATACCCTTTCTGAGTGCCAACCCTCCTGTGAAGCTTTATAAAGAATTAAAATTTGGTGTGGCATGTCAGAGCCTCAAGTTGCTATGCATGCTCCCTTGCTGATTTCATGTTTGACTTTGTCCATGTGAAATCTGCCTGCTCAGGAATGCAAACAAAGCCCTCTCTGTAGGATTTTCTCATTTAATATTAAAGCTGTATGTTTTATGTTCAAACCACGAAATCCTTGTTCTGGCACCATCCCCAAAACTAGAGATCTCTGTATCCAAGCAAAAGGGGAGCAAATGCAGCTTTGGGAATTCCAGCTTAAAGCAGAGCTTGGGAATCTGTGACACCACCACCCTGATGTTCCTGAACTCCAGCTCCCACGATCCTTCTCCACTGACTACGCTTACTGGAGTTAATGGGAGTTGGAGTCCCAACAACATCTGGAGAGCAGCAGAAGTCCCCCAGCTCTGGTTTAAAGGGCTGGAAATTGTCCTTGGAACTCAAGACAGAAAGCACTTCCCCCTCCCCTCTGTCCTGATGCCATGTCAAAATGAGCACACAGGGCAGACATTTAAGCAGTTATGAAACTCTCCTGAGCTATGAGTGTTGATGATCCATTACACATTCTAACAAAATCTGGACTTTGGTTTAATGTGTCGTCAGTCTTTCTCTTCTCTAAACATAAATGGGTAGGGACAGAGCTTGTTGGTGAATGAGAATTCAGTTACTGTAACTTCTCTCCTAAATCCATGACTTCCAGAGAGATATGGATGTGGAAAGGCTAGTCTGACTGAGAGAGAGAAACAATGTGCTAGGATGGTGTAGTTTAGAGCGGTATCTCAAATCTGGGAAGAACTGGGTATCGCTCTCCTCCTCCACATGCAGTCTGGGTGGACCTGGGTCAGTCAACTTCTTTGAAGTCTCTCAGCCCACCATCACAGGTTTGTGTAGGAAGGGAAGGAGCTAGCGCTGAATCCTTAGGGTAGTGATAAAGCGGGATATCAAATCCAAACTCTAGGATAATTGTGTGTTTCAACACAGATGCTTTTATATGCAATCTCTATCCCAGGATGCTATAGCTTTGGTGAATGGAGAAACCATCATCAATACGTAATATTTGTATGGCATTTTCAGGTGTTCACAGTGCGTTATGCATCCGGTATCATTGTCTCCCATATTGCAGGTGAGGGGACTGTGGTTAAGAGAAAGTGTCTAAGGCTACTTAATGAGTTCATAGTTGAGGGAAGACACAAAGCTGGGCCTTCCTGATTCTCTTGCCACTATGCTGCACCAGACCTCAGTAGCAGATGAAACTATACAATCTGCACCTTTGGGGAAGGAGAAGGAAATGCCTGCTTTTAAGCACATTATTTCTGTCTTAGGTAGCCACTTTCTGATGAATATAAATTAGAGGAAGGATGTGCAGAAGCAAATGGTTGTAGATGGAGCAGCTTCACCAGAAAAAAAGAGCAAAAGAGGGGGAAAAAGAACAAAACTGCTGGAACAGGAGGAAAAGATGAGGAGGCGGATCACAGGAAAGTACTTGCTAGCATCATGCAATTAAAATGAGACAGTAAATACACTGAGAAGGCTCGATGCCTTAACAGTCTTTCAAGCTATGTACTACTTACACACTTAAACACAGAGAGACAAGAACATGAAAGTACATATATATATGTCTGAACAAGGACACAGAAAGATCTAAATTGCATGCTGTGTGCTAAACATTAATAAATTCTGTATTTCAGACATGAACTGTCTTCACTTGCTGTGATGAACATAAATTGGATCTAGATTAAATTAGTTTCACTTAGGTCATTGGAATTAATGGGGGGAAATGATCATAAGTTAAGTCACATTAATTTCATCTGGAATTAATTTAAGCTACAAACCTTATCTCACTTACCTTGGAATTACCCATTGCATTAAATAGGACTTACTTCTGAATAGACATGGTTAGGACTATGCTGTTAGGTTGGTTCCAGCACAGAAACATTTAAAATGTCTAATTTCCTCTGATCTGAAGTCATGCAAATGTCTGAAATATCACTCCCTGGAACCCTGAACAAGAGTGAGGATATGCTGTAACTGTTGGAAGTGGGGTGCTGCTGTTCAGCCCTAGAGTTCTTTAATATTAAGAGTAAGCAGCATATGGTGTGTGAACATTTGTTAGAGAGCAGACTTTACCTGTTTTAATCACACACAGAGAGATGCTTGCAGTGAAAGAAAATAACAAAGTTGTTTATTATTGGAAATACATAACTTTGGGCTCATCCACACTTCTGCTTGTTCTGCCACTTTCCCTGGGGAAAACTGGCTCTTTACTGCTGAATCAGAGCAAACATCAAATGGGCTTTCCACAGAGTGACGTTTACTGCAATTCAGTGGTAAAGAGTGTGTTTTCCTGGAGGAAAGCAGCGAGCTACAGCTGCTTCCCAAACTTCCAGCAGTGACATTGTGCTGCTGGTCCCCACTTGTGAAGGCTATTACATAAGGTCCTGGTGTATGTTCTGTCTCATAATGTTGCTATCTATGTGAACTCAGGACAAAAGGGGAAAATGTGGTAAGAGGAAGGCATGCTTGGCAAACCCTCACCATGATCAATTCCTGCCCGGAAACCTATGTCCCTGCTGTGGAAGGACGTGTGGATCCAGAATTGGCCTTCACAGTAACTTACGTACTTACTGTTAAGACCGTGTTCATGGAAGACAATCTTACTTGGCTACGAGTGATCGCCGAAGATCAATGCATGTGGAAAGAGAGTGGAAGGTATGGGGAGGAAACCACTAGCATGCTTAATTAGACGCTGAAAAAGCCTGCCAAGGATTTCTGAGGCAGGCACTGCAATACACCGGACATTTAATGTGGGTGAACAAACTGAATCTTAATCCAGACAAACAGAGGTACCCTTGGTCGGTCAGAAGGCAGAGCAGGGCCTGGGGATTTAGCCTGTGGTGAATGGAGTAACAGTCGCCCTGAAGACACAGGTTTGTAGTTTGGGTATGCTTCCAGAATCAGCCCTGAGCATGGTTGCCCAGGTCTCTGCAGTGGTCAGGAGAGCATTTAAGCAGTTAAAGCTAGTGTACCAGCTCTGCCCATTCCATGAGATGTCTGATTTGGCCATAGTGATGCACACCTTAGTTACTTCCCTGTTTACTGTAATGCACTCTAAGTTGGGGCTGCCTTTGAAAAGTGCTCAGAAACTTCAACTGGCTTGAAGAGATTGCTGACCAGTGCTGGTTACAGGGAGCATATGACTCCCTTGTTAGAAAAATTTCACTGGCTACTGGACTGTTTCTGGGCACAATTTCAAAGTGCTAGTTGTGACATATAGTATGGCTTAGGTCCAAGCTATCTGAAAGACCTTATTCCCTCATATGAACCTGCCTAGCTTTTGTGATCTTCAGGGGAAGCCCTTCTCATGCTCCTGCCACCCTTGCAGGCACAAGGGGTGCAAGAAAGGGCCTTATCAGTGGCTGCTCCCAGACTCTGGAACTCCCTCCCTGGAAAAGCTAGACTGGCTCCCTCCTTGCTGTCCTTCTGATAGCAGGTGATGACTTTCTTGTTCCAACAGACTTTGGGGAACTGATTGCTTTTAATGAAAAGGCTGGTGCCTGACAGGAATGAGCCAGCTCCAAGCGAAGGTTTGCAGCCAATGGCAGAAAGCAGCCAGGAACAGAGAGGCTTAGGTGTCAGGCAGGCAGGGGAGAGCCGGCAGCTGCAGACTTCGGCTCTTCCTGACCTTGATGGGCAGGCTGATAAGGCAGCAGCTGAGAGCAGGCTAGAACACAGCCAAAGCTCACAGGAGACACAAAATGGCACAAACCAACTCAGAGACAGCCTCTCTGAAGGTTGGAGCTGATCCACTAAGTCCTAAGAGTCAGTGAATGGGAGGGCTGCTAGACAGGAAGCAAAACAAGAGACATAAGGGTTGTAAGTTCAAAATCTTCTGTTGATGCCAGAAGGAGTCTTCAGAAGGGTTCACCTTGAGTAATGGTACCAGAGACTTTCTTAGAGCCGTCCGGAGCTATCTGTTTGTTTTTGCAATAAATCCTCCTTTTGAATTACCTACGCTTACCGTGTTATCAAGCTGGGAACCTGGACTCCTGACAGTGCCATGTTGTTTCTATTGTAATTATATGTATGGTTGAATAGGTCGTGTCCCCCCCAAAAAAAATGTTTTTAGCTGTGATTATCATTATCTGTAAGCTGCCTTGAGTCCCTGTCTGGGGGGAAAAGTGGGTTATAAATATATATTATAATAATGGTGGCAGTAGGTAAGCAAGCTTTGCATTCCACCCTTCCATGCACAGCAGTAGCTAACAAAAAAATATGTCATGGCTTCTGAAGGACAGTTAAGCCTGTGCTTGCTTCGCTGTGGCTTTCTGGGTTGTGAAGTCGCTTAAAATGTCTCACTAAGCATCCCTATTGAACAGGGGGAGGGAATGATAAACTCCAGGATGCTAACAGTCACCCTAGAGCAGATTTTTCCACCTGCGCTTCAGGAACTCAAAGCAGAATTACTGTTGCTCCTTAGAAAGCTCTGGCAATAATCACAGCATAGAAAAATAACCTTACCCAGCAGGTTTGTCAGCCACAGGGCCAAATCCTCCTTCATCGGCAACAAGTTAGCCTCATGTCTGCTAGCCAGCCACTGGCTATACTGGTGCATATCGGAGAGGCCAGGGCCTCGGGCCTTTGGGCTGAGGGAGGTGCACATCTTTTAACCACTGGTGCTACCTATTTTGTAGAAGTAAAAAAGAAAAAAAGTATTAGTATAGCATGCTGTGTGAAGACTTGTAATTTTTAGTATTATATATAGCTGCCAATGAGTCAGATTCAATATGAGTGTAATGCCAGACAAACAGAGGTTTGCTCCATGAAACGATGTACATGATAACAACCAGTTTGCTTTTAATAATAATAATAATGGAGTGTTTTGCTAGTGATAGTCTAGGAACATGGGCTAGGTGGATACATTTGTACTTACCTTGGTATGCATGTTGTCAAATATCTCTGCAAGCAGGGATTTAAAAGATTCAAATAATTAAAAAAAGAGATGATTAGGCAAAGGGGCAAATTGAATGGCAAAACAGATATGATAATAAATAGAGATTCCCCATAACATGCTTAATTGGGTGGGTGGGGGATATTGCCATATATAAAAATGACCTCAGAACAGTGCCAAAGGAGCTGCTCAGTGACTTATGCCTGTTGAGTACCGTATAGTAATGCCTCTTTTGGCATTAAGCAGCATAGTAATTCATTCATTCATTCATTTAAAAAATAGTCTAGATTTGCAAATGTGATTTCTGATTCTCTTTGGGTCTTTCCTCAAAACCTGTTTTGTCAGGAAAGCCTTTGCAGAGTCCTTGTGACACAACCTAGCCTGCTCCACCCCTGGGCACTCCTACCTAAGTCTCTAAGACAATCTACAGATAGGAAATGGAGCAGAGGGGAGGGGTGAAGAGCAGTTGAACTTATTAGAATCACTGGGTGGACTTGGGAAGGAGCAATAGCTAGAGCGAAATAGTCATATTTCTCTTATTTCAAAAGCCAGAATGTCACTTTATCAACATGAGGCCTACCAAGCTGAAATGACAAAGATCGTAACTTCTGCAGAAAACACAGATCATTAACACAGATATCTGGGGACAGTTGCACTAGAAGTGCTAATCAGAGAGCTGATTAGCAGTGAAGTGCTAGTCAGGGTAAGATCAAAATATATGATGTTGAAGTTTCTTAAGAAGCCAAAGGAAAACAGGGGGGAAACAGTAGCCTGAGAGCCTCCCAATTGCACAAGTAATGGTGAGGGGGAGAGATACTTTTCCTACTATCTCACAACTTTTGCAACTTTCCAAGGCTTTATCTACTATGTTTCTTCCTTAAATGTAACCTCCACTAGGGAGGCAGTGTGCATTTCTATTGCTTATCCCACAAATAATCTTTCAAAACTCAGTATCATGGCTGATGGCTGTTATCCCAGTCAAAGATGGGCGAATGCAGCCTCACCTTAGAGCACAAGGTGGAGATGTGTGTTGGTTTTTTTTTAAGGCTCAAGAATAGGCCATGTGCCATTATGAATTAAAGGGGAGTTTTCAGATTCTAAAGAATCAGCCAAGCTAGGAATCTGGATAGTGTCCCAGTCAATGGGCAAGGTCCAAAAAGCAGCACGGTTTTTCAGCATGCAACAGGATTAGAAGCTAATAATCCAGCATGGTCCACAACTCAGAGCAGATGGATTTACAAAGGGAGCCAGTAGTCTCTCTAAAAGGACCACACTTTCAGGTTTCTCTGTAAGCATCAGAATGGTTAGTGCAATTGCCAAACAACTGCAGGGTACATGCAGCACCGCTCAGTCTCCCTGCTGTGAGACGATAATAGTATTTATAAAACATCAACATTTCACTTATCATGTAAACTCACACATATAAGGCTACCTAAAGCAGAAATAGGCAGAGAAAGGTCAAGCTTGTTTTCTCCTGCTCTGGAGGGTAGGACCTGAACCAATGGCATCAAGTTACAAAAAAAGAGATTCCGACTGAACATCAGGTAGAACTTTCTGTCAGTAAGAGCTGTTTAACAGTGGAATGGGCTCCTGATTGGAGGTTTTCAAGCAGTGGCTGGATGGCCATCTGTCATGGATGCTTTAGTTTGGTTTCCTGCATTGCAGGGGGTGGATTAGATGACCCTCTGTATGCCTTCTAGCTCTGCAATTTTATGATTCTATTATTTGCTGTGTTTTATACTGTTAATTTGCAAGCTGGTTAAATCTCATTTTATCATAGAAAGGTGAGGCATAAATGCTCAAACAAGTCACACACACACACACCCTTAACTGCAAGGCAATAATACTGTACTGGCTATTCATTGCCTATCTAGAGTACTGTCTCTGCTATGTAAATGAGTTAGGAAATTTGAACGTGGCCCATAATATTTGAACATCCAGAAAAATGTAGACAGATCATAGAACTTAAAGAATTGCAGGGTCGAGTCCAAGCATCCTTTGACACACATGGGGGGGGGGTATCAGCCGGAGAACATTTTAAGTAGGAAAAATAGCATGGGGAAAACAGATTTTAAAAACCCTTGTAGAACACCATAGTCATAAACTGAATTGGGTCCCTTGCAGCTGTTTTGATCTCTCTTTTAAAAAATCTGGTAGATTAAATTCCTACATGAATGAGGCTCTGTTGAATATGTAAAGGCAAGATGCAACTCTACAGGACATTTGTGTTTTTCTAACCTGTATTTTGTTATGAATCTGAATGATCTTTATAAACTGTGACCCAAAGCTACAAAAAAACTGCAACCAGCCCTGTTGGTTTCAATATGCTGCTTGTGGTGCGTAAAGCCCTAAATACCTAGGAAACCAGTTTCCTTCCCCTATCATACCCCACTCGGTCTTTAAGATTAATCACGTGGAACCTCCTTAGAATAATATCCATGTGCCTATGTGTAAAATCAGCTAGCAGAGGACATACAGATGTTGTTTTAAGTGGCTGTCCTACAACAATGGAATTTCCTCTCCCTGGAGCATTTTCCAGCAATGTTGCAAAATCCTTTTTTCATTTGAGCTAGTCTTGGAGAGTTGGATTAGAGTTGGAGTAGAGATCTGTCTTAGCTGAACTGCACATATATCAATGCTACTTCATGTATACATTGAAGCAAAGCATATTGTTTTACACCTTCCCCCCCCCCCCCCGGCAAATTAGGGACAATCTAGCCATTCACCACATCACTGGAGCAAACTGAGTAGGATATCATGTGGCCACGTAATCAGGGGTGTCACACTGAATTTGGAACTTTAAATAATTAAAAATAGGCCACTTATACTAAGGGGAAAATATGGACCCCTTATTATCCTACCCATGGCGCTGAATTTCCAGACTGGGTAAAACAAACAAAATTACTATGCATTATATTTTGCTGGCACCAAACATCAGTTCCATTTGCACTATGTATTTCAAGCAATATCACACCACTTTAAACATTCATGGCTTACCCCAAAGATTCCTGGGAGCTGTAGCTTGTTAAGGGGGCTGAGAATTGTTAGGAGACACCTAGTCCCCTCTGAGAACTTTTAATTCCCAGAGTTCCCTATGAAGAGGGCTTGATTATTAAGCCACTCTGAGAATTGTAGCTCTGTGAGGGGAACAATGGGTCTCCTTAAAAACTCCTAATAAATCTTTGGAGGAAGCCATGTTTATTTTAAATGGTATGATATTGCTTTAAATGTACAGTGCAGAGGGGCACCATCCCCTTGTGTTTTCTCTCTTAAAGACTACTGGCTGGTTTACCTTTGTTGCCTTCATAAACTCTTCTCCCATACGCAAACATTCATTTCTGGAACTGAAAGCAAAAGCAATGGAAGGAGGACAGATTTGGACTTAATGTGGTCAAACTCTGTCCGGAACATAAGTTACCATGTTTTATGGACAGAACTCACAAAATAGAGTCATAGAATCACTGAGCTGGAACAGAGCCTGTAGACAACCTAGAACAACCCTCAGTTTGATGCAGGAAATCTAGGGTTAGATCATTGGCAACACAAGCAGTCCAGCAAGGCAGAACCCATCAGCCCCTTGGTCATTAATACATTGGCTTAATTGCTCTTGCTGTCAATACATTTCTCCTAATGTTCAACCCAAATCTACCCTCATGTAACTTTAGCCTATTGTAACTATTTCCCTTCTCCTTTGTTACAAACCACAAAAATGATAAACATTGATGCTACTAAACTGAACATAGTAGCACCAACAGCATTCTGTTCATCACAGCTCTCAGATGTGGTCCACTAATATCATGGAATCACAGAATCTTAGAGTTGGAAGGGACCCAAGAGTCATCTAGTCCAACCCCCTGCAATACAGGAATCTCAGCTGAAGCATACATGACAGATGCTCCAGGGAAGGAGTGTTTCCACCTATCATGGGAGCCTGTTCTACTGCTGAACAGCTCTTACTGTCAGAAAGTCGGTGCATTTATGCTTAGAGTAAAACACACTGGGCAAACTGTTCTGCACTGCTGTTACTCACCATGCTAGTCATTAAGGGATGGATTAAGGTCCATTGATTCCAGTGGGTCTGCTCTGAGCATGACCAGGATTGGATACTGCCCATTATTATTTGAGTTATGTTCTACTCTTATTTCAAGGTGTTCAGGATAGCTTACCAAGGTGGTATTTTTATGCTGGAGAACTTAAAATCCTATGAGACTAATAGCAAAAGTTTTACTTCATTTAATTTTGCTACAGTTCATCAGTTCAAATTTTATTTCTATGGTGCAACCATAAAATAATGTGTGCACTTCTGGTTGCCACGTTTTAGCAAGTTTATTAGAGAGCAGGAAAGGTTCGAAAAGGGCAAACTAAATAAGCAAGGGGCTAGAGCAGATCCCCTATGAGGAAAAGTGTGTGTGTGTGTGTGTGTGTGTGTGTGTGTGTGTGTGTTAAAAAGGCAAACAAGGGACGTCATTGTAGAGATCCATAAAATTATGTAGCATGGAGAAAGTGCATAGAATCATAAAATCTTGAGTTGGAAATGACCCAAGGGTCATCTAGTCCAATGCCCTGCAATGCAGAAATCTCAGCTAAAGCATCCATGACAGGTGGTCATCCAAGACAAAAGCTTTCCTCCCTCTCCCATAATACCAGAATCTGAAGTTATTCAATGGAGCTGAATGTTTGAAGATTTGGTACAGGTAAAAGAAATCATGTCTTCATGCAACACATAGTTAAAGTATGGAATTTGCCCCCACCAGATGTAGTGATGGCCACCAACTTGGATAACTTTAAGAGAGGGAGAGACAAATTCATGGAGGATAAGGCTACAAGAGATGATGGTGGCATGCCTCCAAATACCAGTTGCTGTGGAATATGAGTGAGGAGAAAGCTACTGTGCTCACGTTCTGCTTGTGGGCTTCCCATAGGCATCTGGTTAGCCACTATGGGAAACAGGATGCCAGACTAGATGGGCCATTCCAATGTTCTTATTATCACATATCTCAAAGAGCCAAAGAGAGCATGCATGTGAGTTCACCCACCTTTATCCTCACAACCACCCAAGTTCATTCACTACAACTAAGCAGGGATTTCAACCCCAATCTTTCTTGTCCACATCCACTTGCTTATATGCTCCCTTATATGCTCAGATCTTCAGTGGAACCACTCAGGAAACTGGTTAACTCAGTTGGTTAGAGCATGGTGCTGATACCACCAGGGTCACAGGTTTGATCTCCATCTGGGGAAGCTGCATATTCCTGCATTACAGGGGGTTGGACTAAATGACCCTTAGGTCCCTTCCAACGCTACAGTTCTATGATTCTATGATGAATTTCAAGATCAAACTGCAGAATACCCTCATGTGGTTCTGGATTTTAAGATGAATAGGACTTATTGAAAATAAACGCATTACATACTTCGGTAAAGACAGTATGCTTCTAGAGAAATTGTGACATATGATGAACTACCTCAGTCCAGCAAATAAAGACCAACAACAACAACTTTCCTATTTATATGCTGCCCATCTGACTGAGTCACCCCAGTCACTCTGGGCTGCTTCCAACAACATGTTAAAGCACAGGAAAAACCTCAAACATTAAAAACCCTCCCTTGACATACTTACCTCTTCAGTGTCTTAATACTTCAGTAACAGGCCCCTCTTCATGTTTCCTTCACAATGGAGTTTTACTGGGAACAGGACTTTATTTACACACAGTTGAGCTGCACCTCCTATTTATGCCATGTGTTCCCTCTCTTTCCCTCCGCCCCACCTCTTGGATAGTAACAAAGCATCTCTAATTCTTAGCCTTATTGTCTGAGTAAAGGATTTGGGGCAGGATAGTTTACAGTACACCTAATGGCATGTAACAGTTTCAACAAGCTGGAAGGTTGCATTCCTCCCCATTCACTCCCACCAAACAGTGAGGTTTTTATGTTACTAGACAGTAGTGCATTTAGTCTTCTGTGTATTGTAGCTCAGCCCAGTAGCTTGCCAGCCCAGTAATTTAAACTGTCTGCTGATGTTTGTCAGTAATCGCCAGGGGTAAGCAAGAGAGGTCATGTGACCATTTGCTATCATGCAGCCAAGTTGGGTTGTGGTGGTTGTTTTTTGTTGGCACTAATTTGCAATATATATATTTTTTTAAAAAATCATATCAACTGTGGATTAAAGCCACATATGGGTGGAAGAAACTGGTTTGTTCAAGGACTTGTGCAAATTATCTTTTCAATTTAGTCCCACATATGCAGCGACCAAGGACGTAGGTTTGGTACCTTACATCACAATCCTATGTAATCCTATACCTACTTACCTGGGAGTAAGTCCCATTGCTGTGAATCCAGTTGAACTTACTTATAAATAGACATGAACAGTATTTCACTATTTATCACCCCCAATGCTAAGTAACTACCTCTTGCTCAGGCACTTTCTCATTCTATTGAAGGTGAATCTTACAAAACTAATCATAATGCACAAACTACAAGCTGAATGTTGTGTTATCCATCACCCGCTAATCTGAACTGCAATGAATGTTAACATTTAAATAGCACTTTTGAGTGTTCAAAGCTTTTCCTATACATTGTGATCCTTCAAACAATGCTGTAAACTGGCCCGGTATTGTTATCTCTATGCCGCAAACAGGAAAGGGGAGGGATGAAGCTGAGGTGGCATTTTAAATGCCAGCTGTGTCCCTCATGACAGATTTCAGCCAGAGACTTCCTACTTCACATTCTTAGCCACTACGCAGCCCTGGCCTCCACCATTTGTCAAACTATAAAAGCACAAGTCGTATCAATCAGGGTGGGGTAGACAGCATCCACTTCCTCAACCAAGGGAGGATGTGGTATTGGCATAAACTATCAACTAATCTGGGTTACATTTGTCCATAAATTGGAGTATTAGACCAGCAGGAGTGGAACATTACAAGTTTAGGCCACACCTGCACTATATATCTAAAGCATAATATTAAAAGGCATGGCTTCCCCCCAAAGAATCCTGGGAACTGAAGTTTGTTAAGGGTGTCAAGTGTCGAAACTATATCTCCCTGGATTCTTTGGATTAATGAATCTTTAAAGTGATATGATCCCACCTTAAATGTGCAGTGAGATGGGCCCTTAGTCAATTCTGTGTTGATCACAGAAGCATTTTCCAGGTTATCCCACTAGAAAGACCATAGCTGAAAAACAGAGTGCATGGTTTGCATGCCTATTGGGTCGCAGATTCAAATGCTGGCACTTCCAGGTTTTTGTTTGTTGTTTTTTTAAAGACCTAATAGCCGGTGAAAGCAAATATTTCTGGCAGAAAGCCAGATTAGGCAATACTGGGCTAAATGGGGGCAGATTGCATAGCCTAGCATTAGTTAGCATCCTACGTTATGGGGGTGGGAGGGAATGTACCCCCCAAAACAAGGACCATATAATAAATAGCTTTTAAGGGTCAAACTTTTGGAATGCAATTCATAATATTTGAGGCTGCAAGATTCCTTGTGGACTAGAATCCCATTACTTTAAGAAGTAGAACACTATTGCACCTGCCAGAGCTATCCTTCCTCTGAACCATTTATTGTGATTAAGCGAGTGGAGACTGGCTGCGTGCCTTTTAAAAGTACTGCTGTGGTGATTCCCTGCAATGAACCCAGCTCACAGTAGTGAGCAACAGCTGCAACTGTATCATTCTGCCTGGCCCATGGCCCGAATTGAGCCTCCCAGCAAGCTTTGCTTTTCATCGTCTGCCTTGAACGTATCCCTAATCAGTCTCTAAACTGTCAAAGAGGGAAAGTTTACATAATTTAAGATTGCTTTAATAACTGTAAATATGGTGCATGGACTTTTGAGGGCACAGTACAGTCCTGTCAAGGTTGTGTGTCAAGCAGACGCTAGACTGGCCAGCCCTAGTTATATGCCACTGGAGGAAAACAAGAAGAGATCCTTTTCAGAAAGTGACTAAAAGCTGCAGAGCAGCACAGCAGCAACCACACTAATTAAACAGAGGGGGGTACCAGCTGCAAGTGCAGAGAATCTTTGGCCTGCACAGTAACAACGCTGGAGAGCATCCATTTTGGAAAGAAATGAGCAGAGAGGGATCAGAAGCCAAAGTGAAGTTCAGCCGGGTCTAACATAAGTTTCTGCTATCCCTGCTAGTTCTCATTAACACAGAAAAGGCATTAGAAAAGAGCAAAACTCTTCTGACTCTTTGTCTCCCTCCTGGTTTGGTTCGCAGCGTTGATGGATTTCTTTTCAAACAGGAATGAGGAAAAATCACACATTTTGCAGTTCTATGCTGCAACTTGCCAAGAAGGTTGCTGGAAATGAGAGAGACGTGGGGATCCGATATTCATAAAACAGTACCTAC